GGTGATGGAGCTTCTCCAGGCCATCACACGTGGAAAGTATTACAAGGACACGCGATGCATGCATGAAGCGGTCATGCTTGAGCCGCTGTTTCCTTTGGCTGAGGTGCCTGCACAGCTCATGGCAGACGGGTCTCCGCCTAATCATTGAAGCTCCACAGATATCTGCGTCGGTGGCTGATTTGCAGGTTAAGTAGCATAGCCAAAGGGCCATGAATTCGACACAGGTCTTGGTGGCCTCCAGGACATGAGTTGAATCAGGGCTGCTGTTGTCATTTGAGCCAGTGCGACGATGAGTTGCCTCAATCCTGATCTCCAGCTCAAACTCGCCAGGCGAACGTGCTGCACTGTGAGCTGGGCCGGTGTCAACATGCATAGATTTCTTTACTCATTCTTACAGGTTTCAGTGGTAAGTTTCAGGCAATAGAAAACTGAAAGGTTTGAGATTGGACTAGTTGATCCCGGATGCGGTGCAGACTGGAAAAGGAATCAGTGCATGAGCTAACGACGGACATCGTAGCATCTTCTTGAGATAGGCCAAAAAGTTCAAACTTTTTGTGCCCGGTCCACTCAGAAGCTAAGTTTAAGGCATCAATCGGACCACCGTCACCACAGTTGAGGCATTTGAATTGCATAAGCTTGTCTTTCACCAGATAGTGCTCCCGACGATGCTTTGCCTGGCTCTGTGGGGATGGAGGCCATCCTAGGCATTTCAGAAAGCCACATCATACACAGTCCATCATCTCATGCATGCGTAGTGCGTTACGTAGGCAGCATTGGGATCACGTTAATTATGCAGCCGAAAGACCCTTGGGGGATGGAGTCACGACTGCAGAAGATTCCGAAGGCGTGGAAGTCGTAGCCCGACCTGGGATCAACATGTTATGGGGTACGGGGAATTTCCCAAAATATATATATATAATATAGTGTGCATCGATATCGTAATGCAGATAAAGCTCTGGGTATCATCAGCTTCAAGCCCTTGTCCTTCCTACCAGTACCTCCAGAAGCCTTGGTTCGGGGTGGTTTTTTGGAGGATGGAGTTAAGCTTTGATAGCTGCGGGTGCTTAAAGCAACTATATTCCCTAGCAGGCAGGGATGTTGAAGGCAAGGGGCAGCTGTTGGAGGCAGTGCCTGGTTGTGCGAGGCTCCAGGTTCTGCTTGTGCACCTGCAACCTTGCATGCTCCAGTGACCTCCGGTGCCGTTGCGACACGAGCTGTGAGATTCTCCGGTGCCGGCTTGGCTGCGTGATTCTCCGGTGCCTTTGCAGTTGGCTTGGCTGTTGAGTTCTCCGGTGCCTTTGCAGTAGGCTTGGCTTTTGGGTTCTCCGGTGCCTTTGCAGTGGGCTTGGTTGTTGGGTTCTCCGGTGCCTCTGTAGTTGGCTTGGCTGTTGGGTTCTCCGGTGCCTTTACAGTGGGCTTGGCTGGTGGGTTCTCCGGTGCCTCTGCAGTTGGCTTGGCTGTGGGGTTCTCCGGTGCCTTTACAGTGGGCTTGGCTGGTGGGTTCTCCGGTGCCTCTGCAGTTGGCTTGGCTGTTGGGTTCTCCGGTGCCTCTGCAGCAGGCTTGGCTGCGTGATTCTGCGGTGTCTTTGCAGCAGGCTTGGCTGCGTGATTCTTCGGTGCCTTTGCGACGGGTGCAGGATTCTCGGGTGCCACTGTGATTTCCAGCGTAACAGGTTCGGGTGGAGGCTCGGGGGCCTCTGCAGGTTCCACATCCAACTCTTCATCATCAGCCTCACTCTCAGATTCCCCCGATCCCTCTCCCGTGTCGGAGGCAGAATTTTCAACGTCATCGTCGCTGGACTCGCTTCTGCTGCCGGTACCTGCAGATGTAAATTAGCTAGCTTACAGGCTTAGGGCTTCTAGGGCTTATTAGGGTTTAGGGCTTTTGGGCTGTATAGGGTTAGGGGTGCTATTTCTATCCCGGGCACTTTGCGGTATTGGCACTCCTGATTGCCGGAAGAGATCACGGAGATTCGGATCACGGGGAGCATGTGGTCTTTTTGCTGTTCTTGCGAACAGAGTTACAAGGCGGCGTAGTACCCATGCCTCTGTCCTCAAATCTCCGCCTCAAGCATTGCACATCCCATAAATTGCAAAGATGAATAACTGCACTAGCAGATACATAGCCTTTGCATCCCAACTAGGCCCAGTGCTGCTTGGCATTTTTGCAGATGCCGGTCTGTAGCCCAAGTAGAACCTCGTGACATACTCCGTCAATAGGTTCACCGATGGGCGAAGGCCTAAGATGAGGCATATTTCGGATAGGACTTCAGATGCTCCGGACCAGCATGCACAATGACTGCATGAATCATTTCAAGCCAGGATTCCGAGGTGATTTATCAAAGGAGCTAAGAGTTCCATGTTGTCAACCAGCGTGGCACGGTTCAACTTGTCATGCTGCAGAAGCAGCAGTCGCTTAGCCCTGGCAACCTGCCCCATAATCGTAGCACTCTGCGACCAAGCCTTCAGAATAGGGCATGGTTCGACAACACGGGCGCCTTCAACCTCCATGGCCATCCCACGGGAAGCGAAAGCTAGTAGCACAGAAACTTGTAGCACACCCAATTAATACATATCAAACTGCGTATACCAGGCCAGCTAGCCGAATTCAGGAATGGCAATCGTGCCAGATCTTTCAAAAGCACTGAGCCAGCTGCTAGTAACAGGAAGGCCCACATGTTTGCAGCATGCGAAATTGGCAACAAGAAATTTAAGAATTTGGTATGCCTCCTGTCGGTCCGGCATCTGAATCAGCTCATCGAGCAATGTACCTGTCCCCAGCCAAGGTACGCTACGACTATGGGGCCTGGATGCACAACACACACACACACACACAGGGGCGCACCCAGGGACCATGTTGGGCTGGATGCATGGAATCGTTTCGGTTTGATACTTGAAAAGGCTAGCCAGATGCAGAAAACACAAATCCAGCCGATTACAGATTAAAACATCCGAACCCAAATTTGTATTACAAATACCCAAATAGTATGACAA